ACGTGAGAGATTTGCCGATCATTCAGTTGATGATAGCCTTTGGCCATCTCAGTGATGATAGCTTTTGCCATCATCAGTGATGATAGCTTTGCCTCATCAAGTGCTGATAGCTTTTGCCATCATCAGTGGATGATAGGCTTTGCCATTCACTCAGTGGATTGATAGCTTGCCAATCATTCAGTGATGATAGCTTTGCCATTCATCGCAGTGGATATAGCTTTGCCATACATCAGTTGATGATTAGCTTTGCCATTCATCAGTGATGATAGCTTTGCCATCATCAGGGTGGATGATATGCTTTTGCCATCATCAGTGATTGATTTAAGGCTTTGCCATCATCAGTGAATGAGTAAGGCTTTTTGCCATCATTTCAGTGATGGATAAGCTTTGCCCATCCATCAAGTGGATGGATAGGGCTTTGCCATCATCAGGTTGATGATAGCTTTGCCCTCACCCTTCAGTGATGATAGCTTTTGCCATCCATCAGTGATGAAGCTTTTGGCCCCATCATCAGTGATGATAGCTTTGCCATCCATCAGTGATTGATAGCTTTGCCATACATCAAGTGATTGATAGCTTTTGCCATCATGCGCAGTGATGATAGGCTTTGGCATCATCAGTGGATGAATAGCTTTTTGGCATCATTCAAGTTGATGTTGAATAGCTTTGTGGCCATTCATCCTTCCTCTCTCCCACCACCTCCACTGGACAGTTTCATGGGCGGGACACCCCATGGACAAGAGCTCCCGCCCGCCTTCTTGACATCCCGGTCTCTGATCGAGTCTTCTTCCCGGTCGCTTGCGTGTGATGCTGACTGCCTCCATGGCCAGACCACTCCAAAGGGAAAAATTCGGCTGGATGCCGACAACAGGAGTCCAAAGAATGACCTCAGGAAGCTCTCCTGCACTCCAAAGGACCTGGAGTTTTCTGGAGCAGAGGTCTGCTTTCTGGCCCTTTCTTATGAAAGTGGCATTGGGGTGGTTATGAGTGCCAGGTCCCAGTTTGACTCTGTTCCAGGTGAAACACCCACGGTACCTATAAGATTGTCCACTCTCTCTATGTCCACACCCAGAGTGTTCCCAACCCGGTCGTGGGAGTGGGGCGTGACTTGCGCCTGGCAGGAGATCACCAACCATGCTCCTTGGTTTTTCCCCTTGTGTTGACTGGGAGGGCAGTTCCACTGACAACCAGGTCCAACCAAAGTCCTTTATCCAGTTCTCTGGTATTTTCCCTGTCGTCGTTCATCAGTGATTGAGGGGCCGACCGATTGGCAGTCCATCAAAGAGAATTTCGGCAGGTGACAGTTGCCAAAACTGTTCCCTGTGGAGCCCTGTGCTCAGCCACCCATGGTCCGAGACTACAGTCCTTTTGGGTCCTTTACATAACTGTGGGGCGGGTTGGTGAGGTAGTTCCATTTAATTCCAGGATGTTGAGGTGAATAATCCACACCTGAGAGCTCCAGCGCTCTGTCCCTCAGAAGCAGGAGCGTGGATGGTGTTTGAAGGCACTGGAAGGTCGAAGAAGTGATTCCTGACAGTGTTTCCAGGCTTTTCCAGGCCGGATGCCAAGGGCTGGGTTAACTGCAGCGGGTCCAAAATGGATGGTCCCCCACAGACGAGGGACCAGCCGTTCCAGTTGTCTTCATCAGGTGCGACGTTGGTCAGCGCCACAAGGCTTGTAGCTGTTGAGGGTCCTTGGGGTGCGCCGTTTTTTGGCCACCCCGGCACACGGCAGGATGTTTTCCCACAGTTGTGTTAACTCTCCCCAAGCTTCAGGCTCAGGTTGAAAGACGTTGCCACAAATCCCACCAGAGTTGGTCTGCGCAGGGGACTTGAGCAGGCGCTGGAAACTGGATGCCGTTCTGGGGACCCGCACGCCTTTGCTCGCCATTCATCTTCCCTGAGCTCTTTCCCTCACCTGTCCACCGCAAAGAGGAGGGACAGGATGCGGGCTGCGGGTTCGATATATTTTGTTTGTGGGTGTAGTGGTGATGATGTGTGAGAGGTGAGAGGTCGGTGGGGGGATGGGCAGTAGTAGAGGGGAAGCAGTGGTGGCTGGCTGCGATCTGATTGCTGTGTGGGTGGGGGGGGTTGGGTTAATGAGGGGAAAAAAACAGGGTGTGTAGACAAGAGGGGGGCTGGCAGCCAGGGATGGCTGGGACCGGGAGAGGGGTTGGGATGTCTCGATCGAACTGTGAAGAATAGGTTCAGATCATTCCACCCACCTTCTGGTCCCCACAGCCTGGGAAGTCCGGTTCTTATGTAGGGCCTGAGATTGGTCTTTTCAGGCCTCTCCAGACTCCGTGATGTTGTTCTGCAAGCAGCTGATCCTCCATTTTCTTTCCCTGTATCCTAGGTTCTTCCCCTCTCTAATCCTTTCCCACTTTCAGCTCCTTCTGCAACAGACGTCAACTTCTCCTTGTTTACAACTTAGAAGACCCCTCTTTTTCCCCTTTCAGGCCAGGCCTTAATGTCCGGAGTTTGATCCAAAGTTTGTTGTTTGGGATTAAACACCGTACAGTTCCCTGGTGGGTACAGTGTTCTCCACCCAGGAAGTTATATAAAGTCTGTTTGATGCAGTAGTGGAGCTGTGCAATATCCTCCCCATGGAGGAGAACAGAGTTTCTTCCCACACAGGTTTGAGGTACAAAAAGACAAGTCCTTCAGAAGCTTACCTTCAGTCTCCTCGGACCAGTCTTCTCACTGTGAGGCTGGTGCCTGTGCACGAGGGGTTCGTACAAACAGGCCAGGAACTTTTTAGGACTGAAAGGTTAACTGGAAGGTGTCCTTGCTAAAACCAACCAACAATTGGGGAGAACGACCACAAATGCCAACTGGAGGTTTGCAGCAGGCCCCACAGACCGGATGGGGGACCACAGAGTTCCCCAGCGGTCCAGCTTGACTTTTTGATCTGAAGGTCGACCTCATAGTTCTTCATCACACTGTGTTTGTGTGGTTTTTGTGTCTATCAACATAGAAACACCATCCAGCATCCTTACAGAGCAGCCACACCGCACTCTCATGTACCCCAGAACTTCCCACTGTGCACAGAGAGAGGTGGATATACAAGGTGGAAGCCAGTGACTGGTTTGATTTGAGAGAAGCACGCTCACAAACACAACCCCCCTCTTTCTGTTGGTTGTTGGTTGTTTGTGCTGTTTTTAAGTTTGTATGTGTTTTACTTAGGATGGTAAAGTAGGTGCTTTATTTAGAATCAAAGTCTTTTTATAGAGGGAGGGCACACTTCTTCCCACTCTTCAGTTAATAATCAATAATCCATCAATACAAAACAAAACTGGTTGGTCTACTCAAACCGATTCAAAACTTTCTATAGAGCTTTCTCTGCCTCATTATCAACTTTTATGTAATGACTGAAAATAATATTAGTTAATAATCAACTGCAAGTCAATAAACAGAAGTTATCTCAGGACTGGTTTTAAAATAGAGGCAAGGGTCTTAGACCGACACTCCTTAATTAACATTTTATTTAAGAGACCCAATCAGTCTCTGATTTACCCACTTAGTAATCAAACATATTAATCTTATTAATAATCATAACTGGATCCAGTAATATGAGGGCTTGGATATTTGGGATTTGGATATGAAAAGCAACATTTAAACTGCCAGGTTCACAGCTTGGAAGGTGTGTGTTTTAATTATAATTTATGTAGTATTTAATATTAATAATACAGTTTTGCTTTATAACTAATAATGGTTTTATTTATTAATATTTAATGTTTATAGAATAATAGCTGATTTTTTTAATTTTGTAGTATTTTCTGAAAATTTCTCCAATGTTTCAATGGATCAAAATGGACATAAACCAGGAACCATAATCAGTGACTGATAATAAAACTGGGAATTAATCGATATAAATTGGACCCACCTGAATGAACCATGATGACTCCCACCCCTGCTGATGTCGGTCCTGGATCTCCTTTCCAGCTTTGTTTTGAATCAACCCTGGGCCCGGCTCTCCATTGCTTCAGGACTCCACCTGGACCTGCCTCACCTTCCTCCTCCTCCTCCTCCTCTCACAACCCAGGGGCGCCAGGAGCCCGGAGCTCCGTCGGAAGAAGAGCAGCCCATCTCAAAGCACACCGGGGCAGAACAGCTCTGGAAATGCAACACCGCTGCAGGTCGGCCGCAGACTGAGAGACAACCCAAGCAGCAATGAATGAATGAGTGTGTGGTCTGGATACCTTCACACACACCACACCACACACACCACCATCACACCAACACAACACACCACACCAAACTTGCCTACAGAATGAGTCAGCCAAATGATGAGCTTCAACTTTAATTAAACTATTCTTCATTATTTGTTCAACATATCATTTAGGTGTAAACTATATAAACAATATTGATGATGGTATAATGGACAACTACTAATTACATATTCCTAATTTAGCAATAATATTTTAATAATAACCAATTTAAATGAAATTAAAAAGGAAACTAACACTGAAAGGATGAGTTTGGAAATGTCCGGTTTCACCATCCAGAAGAATTCCCAGGCATGCATCAGTTAAACGCTGGATCTGGATTGCAGCTTTACCATGTTTGAACCTCGTTTATTTTTTTAACTGGGACTGCTGATTTAAATTGAAGTTAAAACACTTTTTATTTGATTTAACATGAAGTTTTAATAGAGGTTCAGGTCAATTAACCTTCATACAAAAACAAATCACATATATGTTTATATTCCAGGTTCGCTTGTCCCAGAATCCACTGGGGGGCCCCTTGACCCTTCCAGGACGAACGAAACTTTTTAAATCTAATTGTCTTGTGTTTATTCGCTCAGTCTGTCCTAAAATCTGATCTACGCCCCCATGGCCTGGAGGGGAGGGGCTTACAGGTTGAGGGCCCCGCCCCCCCCCTCCCGTCATGCACAGAGACTTCACCATCTGAATATGGGCTGGAAACGAGGCCACCGTCAAAGAAGGTTCTTTAAACACGTTCCGCCCCCATCACCTGTTCCCTGTGGCTCCGCCTGCTCCACCATTTTGACCTGGAACACAAAACCCACCTGGTTTGACTGTTCCACTGCAGCTCAGGTTACACCATGTATGATCAAACACTGAGTTATAACAGAGCCGTCTAGAGCAGGAGAGACCCTGGGCCACTCCCTATTTAAGTCCCATTGTATCCGAATTTTTGGGTTGCAGTTCCCACCAGAGTTCCACTGGGCGATCGCCATTGAGTGCAGAATGGGAATGGGAGCAGATGGAAAGCTAGACGGGGCTAAATTTGTCTCTTTTCACCTGGATTTGTCGTATGACGAAATCTTCCAGACTTTGATTGGTAGTTTTTTTCTAAGTTCACCATGGGTTTATAGGTCGAAAGTTTGAATAAACCCGAGGTTACGTTTACTTTCCTTTTGATTTCTTACAAGGGTTAGGAGTTGTTGCCCCATCAAACACGCTAGCATTCTGCTAATGAACGGCTGATTGGGTCAGTTGAAGGACTGATTACGGGACCAGAGATCACCCGGCTTGATTGGCATCATTGCGCATCCGAGGGCGGACGGAATA